ATACAAAGTGAGGTATTCCCTACAATGAACATAACATGGCAAAATAAGGGTATTATTTACATGTTATGATTTTATGTAGCAGCATCTATAACTATATAGCAAATGATAAGATATCCACAAAATTTTTATACTCTATATTAACTTCCACATGTAAGAGAAAGCATGTAATATTTTTCTTTCTCACTATGGCTTATTTCACTTAGCATAATGACCTCTAGTTCCATCCATTTTGTTGCAAAATGTTAGGATTTCAGTCTTTTTATGGTTGAGTAATTATATCATCATGAATATATACCACATTTTCTTTATACAATCATCAGCTGATGGACTGATGGGTTAGGTTGATTTAATATTTTTAGAACAGGTATAGATTTGCAGCAAAATTGATAGGAAGGTGCAGAGGTAGCTGGTCAGTCCCCAGCCCTGAACATGCATACAATCTCCCCCATCAGAGTGATACACGTGTTACAATCAATGGACTTTCATTGACGTCATTATCATCCAAAGCCCATGGAAGTTCACTCTCAGTCTTGTTCATTGTACGGATTTTGGCAAATATAAAATGTGTGCCTTAAACATTGCAGTATCATACAGAGTATTTTCACTGACTCAAAAACCTACACTAAGCTTTTTCATCTCTTCTCTTCTTTACAAATTTTTATGTTCTTTGCACATGGATTGTGTACTGGCAATTTTTTCTTTTTTCTGGGACTAGTTAGGTGCAGTTATTTTATCTTGGTAGTATTTAAGTGGTAGTTAGGCTTTCTTTTTCAGCGCTGTTCTTAAAATTAGGCTTAATTTTGGGAAACAGAAGAGGACTGAGAGATCAGCAGGTTCAGCTGGACCATATCCACCCTCATCTGCAGTTAAGAATCATGTAGAAGAACATATTGCAAAATAATGAATGCACACACACATACGCACAACAAATTTGAGGTTGAAAGGGACATTAAGTGATCATCCCAGCCAACGTATGAATACGTATTTTTAAACATAAAACACATATGTGCTTTCTGCAGGCACCAGCTGGGTATTTCAGCTTTGGAATGCATATTCACCAGAGTTAAGGTTGGTCTGGACCACCCACAGAGGTAAGGCCACCCAAGGGAAAATTTGAGATGTAGGCAAGCGGAGCTGCCAGGCTTGCCTGTCAGAGCAGCTGGCCAGCCCAGCACCTGCTGCCCAGTTCCAGACAGCTGGGGATAAGACCGCATGGACCCAGCTGCTGTTAGGATGGGCACCAACAGATACCACTGCCGCTTGGGCATCTGTCAGCTCTTGCTATATTTGGTGGAGGAAGTTTGGCAGGCAGTTGTGTGGTCTACCAACTAAAATTTAGGCTGGTTAGTCATAAACCAGAATCATAAAATCATAGGGCTGGAAAGAACCTCCAGTGAAGGAGCTTTCAAACTTTGGTGTGAATTAGAATAACATTGGAAGCTTCCTGAAAAGTCTCATTCCTAGACCCCATACTTTACAGAGTCTGATTCAGTGGGATGTGGGTGGATTTATTTACAATTTGCATTTTTCATTAAGCCCCTGTGGTAAATTTAATAAGTAAAGCAAGGGTTTTAAGAGTTCCAAGAAGCATCACAGTTTAGGACTAATCTTTCACTTGATATGCTTGCTAGAAAGAAATATTAATAGGTCGTATCTTGATGAGTCAAAAGTTAGACTGTGTGAGACTCTACTTGCAACTGGGAATTTACCATTTGCTAAACACATATTGGTAAATATATGGGGATCATCAAAAGTAGCAGAGAGAGAGAGAGAGAAAGAGAGAGAATTGCTCCATAACTGAAGCCCATTTATAAATGTTATCTAAATACCCTAAAATAAACATAAGTAGATTCATTATCAGAAACTGTTTTGCAGTTGTTGGCATATTCTTTTAGATCCTATTCACAATATTTTATGTTGCTTTCAAGATTATAAAAATGATGTCATTTTCTCATTTATAAAATGTGATTTAAAATAAAGATTTTTTTTATTACACTCACATTCCTGAGTTTTTGGCAAATTGGGAGGACAAGGTGTTTCATTTTTGTCAAAGTTCCTCAACAGGAGGCATAGACTGACTATCATTAGCAACAAGGTTGGTGGCAGGACTATGTCTTCAATCAGCTTTCCCTCCCAATTCTACTATGTGGTATAATAAAAATTAAATTTAGTTTTCATTCCCCGTTCCTGGCACAAATCTCCTAAAATCCTTGGGATTTTTCTGAATGATACAAGTGTCTTGTTATTCATAACGAGTCATGTAATTAAAGGTTTTAACTTTTGGCCCCTAAAGGGAGGAGAGAAGGCCTGGAAACTGAATTCAATCCTGTGAACAACCATTTCATCTATACTGTGTCTGGAAGGAAAGCTTAGGAGCTTCTGCTGGTGACCACATAGTTGTGCAGGGAGGATGGCATGCCTGGAAAGTGACAGACGCTTTTCACTGGCTGTGGACCACACCCCTGCCCTATGTATCTCATGTATTTGACTGTTCCTGAGTTGGGCCCTTCAGAAAAAAAAGTAGTTATAAATAGAAGACTTTCTTAATCTCTATCAGTCATTGTAAAGAATTACCAAACCTGAAGGAGGGTCATGGGAACCTCTGAATTTGCAGCCAATCAGTCAGAAACAGGGGTGTCCCTGGGACTTGTAGACTTGTAGATGACATAGGCAATGAGGGCACTCTTGCGGGACCATGTGGGACCAAGCATGCAAACATGTGGCATCTGACACTAACAAGAGGTAATTATGTCGGAATTGAAGAGAATTGTAGGACACTTAGTTGATGTTAGAAGACTAGTGTTGGAATGACATGTACCATGACACACTGAATGACATTCAGAAATAGAAGCGGCTCAAAGGGAGCCACGTGTGTAAGTCACTGGCACTTTAGTGATGGCACCAACCCTCCCCATCGTGGTGATAATGGAGTCATTGACTATGTGTTAACATGAATTTCCTGGGTCTTGACTATGCACAAATCACTGTTGTAGGGTTGTGGGGCATCCGAAATGTGAATTAGCTGACGCTGTGTCACTGTGTCATAGCGGGTAAAGCCACCGCCTGCAGTGCTGTCATCCCATTTGAGTGCTGGTTTGAGTCCCAGCTGCTCCTCTTCCAATCCAGCTCTCCACTATGGCCTGGGAAAGCAGTAGAAGATGGCCCAAGTCCTTGGGCCCCTGAAGCCATGTGGGAGTCCTGGAAGAAGCTCCTGGCTTCTGGTTTTGGAAATGCTCAGCTCTGGCCATTGTGGCCATCTAGGGTGTGAACCAGCAGATAGAAGACCTCTCTCTCTCTCTCTCTCTCTCTCTCTCTCTCTCTCTTTCTTTCTCTGTCTACCTCTGCCTCTCTGTAACTCTACCTTTCAAATAAATAAATAAATAAATCCTTTTAAAAAAAGAAATGTGAATTAGGCATGGCTTTCCGTGGAGGATTTGTATTTGCTAGCTAAAGAAAATCACTGACGAGGAACTATACTATAAGATAGAAATATGTGAAAATACCGAGGTTCCAAGAAGTGCGTGTAAGTGAGCAGCTCCTATAAGTCAGAAGAAATGGTGAAGACAATGAATAGTAATCAATAAAAGGCAAACAACCCCTGTTTACTGGGTTTGGTCTTTGAAAGACTGATGCAATTAAAGACATTCAAGGAAATTCAGAAAAGCTTAATGCTACCAATATGTTGAGAAATTCCTCATCTATATAACACTAAGTCAAGTAATTAGGAAGAAATAAATCAAGAGTGACAGTTACTTCCTGAAAAAATAGATCCACTCACATTACTGTTTGTTTTCCATTGGTAAATCCTACAATTCTAGTTTGTATGCTAGATTGTATTAGTCTACAAATGTTTGTTGAATAAAAAAGGTGCTTAAAACAGACTTGTGGTATGCATTACACTGGAACTGGGAAAAAAATGGAAATGAAGAAAGACAGGGTCATGGCCTCCATCTAGTCTACAGTTTGAGGTGGAAAAAACAATTCTACAGGTAAGTATGAAATCTGGACTTATAAGTGCTATAAAAGAGAGGTTGTACGAGAGTGAACAGTGAGCAAAAGTCATGGTAAGGACTTGTTTGGCCAGAAAGGACTTCTCTGAGGAACTCAAAGAGTTGGCTGAATGAAGCTGGAGATTCATGCAAAGATGACAGGGCAGGCGTGAGCAAGGAGGAACTTGAGATGGGAAAGTCAAGACTTTAAGTTGGAAATAATTATCTTAAGGTCAATGGGGATCCATTAGAAGGTTTACCAGAAGGGGTGAGGTGATGTGATAAGATGTGTGTTTTGAAAAATACTTGATGGATTTATGATCTTGGGTGAGTCATCTAACCTTTCAGAGAATCATTTTCCTTGAGCCGTGTGATGGAAATACCAATACTACCCTTCTTGTTCTTGTGAGCACTTGGGGATAATAAATATACAAGGCCTGAGATACCTAACAGTTTCAGAGTAAGTGTGTTTTTTTGTTATTATGGTTAACATTGGGATAGTGTGAGGATTGTGATGTTCCTGAAAATAGTAAATTTTAGATATATACTCTAAGTATCTTCTTCTCTATTCTGCTTAGTATGCTGGAAAAGAACCTACCACTTTGTGTCAGAAATGTGAACAAGAGCTCTGACTCTCACCTTAGACAACTGCTGTGAGACCAGTTTCTTCTGTAAGATTGGAACAATGGTACCTGTCACACCTGCTTTAAAATCATTGCCATGCTCAAGTAATATGATGTATCTGAAAGTTCTGATAACCAGGGAGACTTTATAGAAATCAGTGGTGTTTTCATTATTTTTTACCTCTTCCTGATCTTGGCAATCATTTCAGCTTAACTCTCACATAAAAGCTGTCAGTCACACTGAATTTCTTCCTGCTTCCATTACATATAAATTCATCAATGTAGAAATTTCAAACTCCTGGTCAAAGGTTTCCACACCTGGGTAAACCTGTCAAACTGTCACTTCTGCATCTCACCTATGAATGTCTCTATCCTGTAGTGCAAATAATTCTTTTTTTTTTTTTTGAATGTCCATCAGGAGAGGCTATGCCTTTCATTTTCTCAGTTCTTGTGCTAAGTAGAGTCACACCTTAACCCTTATCTTTGCCCCTTTCCTTGGGTTTCTGAGAGAATCTGACTGAAGGGATTTTTTTTCCCCACATGAGTTATGGCAGAGGGCCAATCATTTCATTTTGATATTCTGCATTTTTCCTAAGATCGTCTTTTAATTCTTATTTCAGGTTAAAAAACTAACATGGCTGTGTCTTATCTCATTTAATGGATGAACAGCTTATGTTTTAGGCTGATTAATCCCTTCAAGTTTGCTTCATCATCTTACTTGAGGCTTTTATTTTTACAGAGAAGAAAAGTACAGACACACCAAATGTTTGTGAGTGTCTATTCAACAGTCTTGCAGCAAAGGAAAGATGTATACACATTTGTGTTCAAATCCAACTCGTGATGAAGGTATTTGCCTTTTCGACACCCTCAACTTAGAAGACATGCTGTGTGGAGTTTCACAACTGAAAAAAGCAAAGCACGAAGTAATGGAGTTGGGAGTGGTTTATGAAAGTCCTGCTACCCAAATATAAAATTTTAGTAAAGCTTTATATCACTTTAATAATATAAAAGTATATAGAACCTCCTATCATACTTAAGGTTCTACTATGAACAGAGGAAACAGAGACTTTAGTTTATTTTGGATTTTTTGTTCTTTTTGCCAGAAAGGGGTTATCTAAAATTTTATTGTGACTTTTGCTATCAGGACATGGAAGGCTTTCATGTGCATGCATTGGAGGCTTTGGGGAGAGCAGAAAATATGTGCTAGAGACAATATTTGGAGAGGCAGAAATGTTTCACATTAAAAATGATTGAAGATGATAAGTGAAATGCATGAGTTTACTAAAACATCAGGAGCCACCGAAACCAAGTAGCCCTTTGCCATCTTTTCACACTTTTTTTTTTCTTTCAGGAACATGCAGCCAGTATGATAGAATCTATACTTACTGTAGGGTCAAAGGGCATTCCCCTAAGAGCAGCATTGACTGTTTGAATCCAATGATTAAATCTTTTCCCCCCTTATTAGTTCTAGGAGACAACCGTTTAGGAATCCTTGTCCCTGCTGGACAGAACAGAGGAAGGTTTGACTGCTCTCATAAGTCAAAATTGAAGTTGGCTCCTTTCTCCCTCTTTTGCTGCCTATTCTTCACCGTGACAATTGTTTCCAATTGTACAAACAATAAAATAATGAACATTAGAAAAACTTTCTTTGTACCAGGCACCGTGCTATGTGCTTGACATTAGCTCTCACATTAATTCTTTGAGATGAGAACTATTATTAGTTTCATTTGTATTTACACTAAAAGGAACTAAGAAATTATGGAGTTTAAACAAATTTCTGAAGATCACACAGGCTAGAAAATGGTGGAGCTGGAATTCACACCCCAGTCTTGCATGCCAGGAAAATTAAATTGAGGCAAGAATGACATAATGGGTCAAAGGAAACCACCAATAACTAAAATAGCAAATAATAAAGAGACAGAGGATGAATGTTCTGGAAGACAAAACAAAATAAAACTTTAGTCTTTAATATGGTGTAGGAATTTCCCTTTTATGATGAGTCTACTTGTTTTCTGCAGTTGATGAAAGATGTTGTGGACAACAATGAAAGAATATTAGAATAACACAGGCGTGCCTGAGAGTACTTCAAAAAGTTCATGTTTACAAACAGCACTATAGGTAGCAAACCTTGATCATGGATGCCATAGGATTTCTTGTTTTGAGAATTACTGAGGGGAAAAGAGATGACTCCATGCATTTAAAATTGATTCATGTGATGATCAGAAGAGGAGCAGCCGGCCGGCGCCACGGCTCACTAGGCTAATCCTCTGCCTTGCGGCGCCGGCACACCGGGTTCTAGTCCCGGTCGGGGCGCTGGATTCTGTCCCGGTTGCCCCTCTTCCAGGCCAGCTCTCTGCTGTGGCCCGGGAAGTGCAGTGGAGGATGGTCCAAGTGCTTGGGCCCTGCATCCCATGGGAGACCAGGATAAGTACCTGGCTCCTGCCATCGGATCAGCGCGGTGCGCCGGCCGCAGCATGCTGGCTGTGGCGGCCATTGGAGGGTGAACCAACGGCAAAGGAAGACCTTTCTCTCTGTCTCTCTCTCTCACTGTCCACTCTGCCTGTCAAAAAAAAAAAAAAAAAAAAAGTGGAGCAGCCAAGATTTGAATCCCATGCTCATAGGGGATGTTGATGTCATAGGCTTGGCTTAACCTGCTGCACCAAAACACCAGCCCCATGCATGATGATAAGTCTTTTATGTGTTCTCTGATTCTCCCCTTGAAAGGCAGTCATAGCAAGGGGCACATGAGACTTTCAAAGGAAGCTTCCTGGGAGAAAATATTTTGTCTCCAATACAAAGCTGTGAATATGACCACGTTTATCAAGAAGATGTAGCTTAAGTGAAAACTAATGGCACATGAGGATGAAAGGAAGACATGAGTAACGAAATGGGAGCTCAGAAGCTAACCACAGTGGCCTGAATGCTGGAGAGAACTTGAGAACCTTCCCAAGTACAATAGAGCACAGTACCACTGTAGGTCTGTGTAAGCTGTTCCACTGTTGAAAGCCATGCTTCAGGAACTGTGCTTTGTAAGCGGAAACTGGCTGCGGCCTGGCTACCCTTCCCCTCATTAGATACCTGGAATGTGGGAACTTTTAATCCAAAGTACAGGTAGACTTAATACATCTCTTCCTTGAGAAGTAGAAAATAATAAGCCCAATCAACAACTTCAAAGGAATGTTTTCAATGAATGGAACTATTTCTAGAGTTATTTATTTGAGCAGAAAGACACACACAGAGAGAGACAGAAAGTGCTGTTATTTGCTGGTTCACTCCCCAAATGCCCTAAAAGACAAGGGCTAGGATGGACTGAAGCCAAGAACTCAATACAAGTTTCCCAAGTGGGTGGCAGGAACCCAATTAGTTGAACCATCACTGTTGTCTCCCAGGGTCTGCATTATCAGGAAGCTGGAGCCAGGAGCTGGAGCCAGTATTAAATCTAGATACTACAGTGTAGGATATGGACTTCTTAACCACTCTCTTAAATGCTATGTTAAACACCCACTCGGTCTGGGAAAATTTGACATAAGATTCTGTGAAATTTAAAGTCAGTTTCTTGTAATAGCTAACTTCAATTGACCCAAGTTTCATCTATTAAAAAATGTAAAAACTCCAAGCAATCAATTTATGCTTTCGTAATGTTTTCAAGAGCCCTTTAGGTATATAGAAATATTTTATTTCTGTAAGTAATGAATTTTTGCTTGTAGTATTTTGACATCTCTAAGAGAAAGTACTCTGTTAAATAAGTAATAGTGCAACTGAGAAACATGTTATTAGTTCCATGTTGGGGGTTTGTCTGTTACTTTGGATATGTGATAATGGGGGAGTCCATCACCTCTTGGTCCTAATTTCCTTGTCTGTGAATATGTGAGAGTGCATTGTTAGGGGATTTCTGAGGCATATTTTGTCTCTAAGATTTCATATGATTTTAACAATTATCCATGGGCTGAAAGTTAATGATTTGCCTGGGTACATTTTCTATTTGATAAAAAGAGTACTACCACCACGAGGAAGATTAAAATCATTCTGAAATTCTTGCACAGTAAACTTGAGTAGCAGGTGCCTGTTATTAATTGTCCTTGCTGGCTCACAATATGTTCCCAAGGACAGAACCAGAAACCATCACAAATAGATAGTATTGACATACTTAACCAGCAGCTCTGTTGATTTTGTCCTTGCAAATTCAAATGAATATCAGACACCATGGTGCAACCCTGTAGAAAGAAACATCAGAAAGAAAATCATTGCTAGCATTTAATTGGAATGAGTGTTACTTGTTGCATAAACACTCTGTGGTCAATAATTTCAGTCCCAGCTGGAAAATAAATTGAAGAGCCAATGCATTAACAGGTGATTATGCTAAAATAGCTGATGGTACTCAAATACACAAGCATCAACTGATTTTTTTCCTATTCCTATTACATCGCTGGTTCTCAAACATGGCTGTGTATTCTTACCACTTGGAGAACTTTAAAAAAAAATCCCTTCTCCAAGTATGCCTTCCACAAAAATTATTGCCAAATTTTGGGGCATGGGGTGCAGACATTTTTGTATTTTTAAAATTCTACCCACTATTTTAATGTATATAATTGTTTGAAAAGCACTTTTACATAGAATTCAATTGCTTTTATCTTCAAAGCTCTCATAAACTTCAAAATGGATTAATTTAAGAAAAATGTAGGTCTTATAGAAAGATTGCAATTTGCTTTTTGATTTTAGGGGCGTGGGTGTGATTCTTCAAACATTTGTTTTGTAATTTTACAGTGGTTATATGCTACATTTTCACATAATCACGTCATTCACATTAATATTGCAATCTTTGCTCAGATATTGGAAAAGATAGTCACAGGTATACATATTCATGAGTGAATTAAAGTGTCATATCAACGAATTCAGTTTTAAGCACATTGGACTGTTGTCATCTATTAATTAACTCTGAAATGTACTCAACTGTACAGCCAACCCAAATGTGTTCACTATTTATTGAGTCTTTTGATTTAACTCACTGATCTCAAACTTTCTGTCACTCACGGATGGGAGATTTCAATGACTAGATTTTGCTTTATTCCTAAAATATAATCTGTCTTCAGTTTCTGCTTTATTTATAGAAAGTCCAAACTTTAGTTATATCAGAAAAATCAGAAGCTTTCATCTTAACTCTTAGTAGTTTTATCTTTTCTTAACAAGTATTGCCCATGCTGCTTGTATTTAGTCAACTCTCTATTTCCCCTTTTAAAAATATTTCCTCCTGGGGCTGGAGTTGTGGCAAAGTGGGTAAAGCTGCTGCCTGTGACACCAGCATCCCATGCAGACACTGGTTCATGTCCTGGCTGCTCCATTTCCAATCCAGCTCTCTACCAAGAGCCTGGGAAAAGCAGCAGAAGGCGGTCCAGGTATTTGGGCCCTGCTACTGAAATAGGAGACAAGGAAGAAACTCTTGTTCCAGGCTGGTCCAGCCTGGGCCGTTGTGGCCATCTGAGGAGTGAACTAGTGGATGGAAGATCTCTCTCACTCTCTCTGTAACTCTTTCAAATAAATAAACAAATCCCCCAAATCCTTGTCATCTGTCACAACCTATTCAACACTCTGCATGTCCTACACTTTCAATGTCCTTTAATTGCTTTGGGAAGCTTTTGTTCTGAGCTCCTGTTTTCAACAGTTACATACTTTCTCACATTCGAAAAGGACTTTTTAAAGAAATTTCTAACATATTGCTCAAGACAGTGTTGACTCTTTCATTTTGGCTCTGCATTGTGTTTTTCATCTCACCAAACTTTGGATCCTTTTCATCTTGCAGGCATTTTGCAGTTTCTTTTCATTTTACTCAAAGCAGATCTGTTAAATTTACTTTGTAAAATCCCTTCAGGCATATTATCTTGGTGTAAATTTGAAAATTTTGCTTTAATTTCCTTTCCTCCACTATGATTGTACTAAGCTTAGATTCATATTAACTTTTAAGTGATGGTAATTCCTTTTGAAGTTTTATGTGTTGTGGTCTTTCCAGAGAAAGTTTTAAGTATTTCTTCTTTCTATACCATTACCTTTTTTAAAAGATAGAGAATTCACAATGTTGTCTCCCTCCGCAAGTGTTTGAAATGGAAAAAAGGAAAGAATAAGTACTTGATCTTTAGAGCAAGTTGCAGTTAGATTGAGTGCCCCCCAAAACCAAAGGGTAAAAAAAAGAGCTCCATAAGATGAAAAGTATTCTGCAAATAGCTATGAGAAGTCATGGGCCAGGAGAGAGAACCTTCATTCAGAGGCTTGATGAGGAAAACAAAGATGTGTCTTCAATGCTTCCCAGAATTTTTTCAGAGGAGCTTTTCTGAGAGATACTCAGAAGAAAGATTAAACATCTTAAGAATCAAGCAAAAGGTAATAAATACAGGGGAACTTCAAAAACCTCACAGAGAATGGCATGAAAAGGTGTTATTTTGGTATAAAAATATTTTGACATCCAGGCATACTTTTTTCATAACACACATTTTCGTGGACTTTTTGAAGATCCCTTGTCTATTGATAGCAAATAGTTAGCAAAATCACAAAGCAAGTTTGTCCATCGTGCTAATGGAGAAGAGGACTTTACAAGATGCCAAGTTGACAGCACTTGCAGTGACTTTTTTTAGGATTTATTTATTTATTTGAAAGAGTTACACAGAAAGAGAAGGAGAAGCAGGAAGAGAGAGGGGTCTTGGGTCTTCCATCCGCTGGTTCACTCCCCAATTGGCTCCAACAGCCAGAGCTGGGCCGATCTGAAGCAGGTCCGTAGGACTTGGGTCATCTTCTACTGCTTTCCCAGGCCATAGCAGAGAGCTGGATCAGAAGTGGAGCAGCTGGGACCCAAACCAGCACCCATATGGGATGCCGGCAGTGCAGGCGTTGGCCTTACCTGCTAAGCCACAGCGCCGGACCCCTGCAGTGATTTTTTTTTTTTGACAGGCAGAGTGGACAGTGAGAGAGAGAGAGACAAGAGAGAAAGGTCTTCCTTTTGCCATTGGTTCACCCTCCAATGGCTGCCGCGGCCAGCGCGCTGCAGCCGGTGCACCATGCTGATCCGAAGGCAGGAGCCAGGTGCTTATCCTGGTCTTCCATGGGGTGCAGGACCCAAGGACTTGGGCCATCCTCCACTGCACTCCCGGGCCACAGCAGAGAGCTGGCCTGGAAGAGGGGCAACTGGGACAGAATCCAGCGCCCCGACCGGGACTAGAACCCGGTGTGCCGGCGCCACAGGTGGAGGATTAGCCTATTGAGCCACGGCGCCGGCCCCCTGCAGTGATTTTTAAAACTTCATTGCCAACACAGCACACACTCATCCTTATCATCTATAATTAGCTCTTGTATATAACAGCATTTGCCTTATTAACAGTCATTTTGGGGGCCATTGTCTGGTCAGTGAGGTCAAAGAGATTTGACAAACTAAACAGCACACCACTTAAGGGCAAGAATTAAATTACCTATGACACGTGCATTCTTCCTGGATGTTAGCGCATCAGAGGTTTTTAAAAATCATGTCTTTAAGTGCATCTTATTGTTTTCTCATTAGCAGTTTTTCAATCCCAGTTTCAAGTGTTAGGCTTTCTTAAAGTAGCATACTTCCCACAGTGCTTGGACTTTCATTGAGGAAAAGAAGCTCAAAAGCACCCATTCATGTCTGCATTGTTTGTCATGCAGGACATAAGAGGGTACCTGGGCTGGGTACCTCACACAAGCAGGGATATGGGAGGCAAACATTCTCTGCTTCCTAGTTTCCCTCCATCAAAGGCTCTCATACATTCACGTAAATGAGAATCAAACAATGCCATAGATGCAAGAAGTTTAGGGGAATTAACAGTGGCCAACTCACATGTGGGAAAGACCCAGAATTATCAGTTCCCTCAAAAAGAAAAAGTGCTCACCTCTATGGCATATCACCTTATTAAAGATTTTTCAAGTCAAATCAATTCTCTTCTTTGCTCCATAGGCCAGCCTCTGGAGATCCAGGACATGTTTTCTTATTTCCAAGCCATGGATGTGAAAATGATGTGCAGAGAGCTTCAGAAAACTCTCTCTCAGGTCCTCAAGTAGCAGCTGTGGAGTGGGGCTGCTCATTGCAACTTTAATTTCTTTTTCTGGACTTTTGCCTGCATTGTGCAGTGTAGAAGTCTGAGTTCTCCACTAGAAGAGTCCATTGGAATTAGGCTGAGCCCATTAGATTGTGTGTCTCTTAATCTGTAGGTGTGTCTACGAGCTTGATTTTGGCTAGATCCTATGAATATTTAATAAACCAGAATAAGTAAAAGGGCTGATGTTGTGACACAGTTAAGCCATCGCTTGTAAAATCAACATCCCGTATCTGAGCTCCAGTTCAAGTTCTGGCTACTCTGGTTCAGATCCTGCTTCCTGGTAATGCATCTGGAAAAGCAGCAGAGGATGGCCCACGCATGTGGAAACCTGCTGCCCATGTGGGGTTCCTGGATGGAGTTACTGGCCCCTGGCTTTGGCTTGGTCCAGCTTAGGCTATTGTACGCATTTGGGGAGCTGAGGATGAACCTGTGGATGGAAGATTCTCTGTCTCTCTTTGTCACTCTGCCTTTTAAACAAACAAGTAATTAAAAGTAGAATAACTAGAGATATAGTTTTTCAGAGATTATGGAATTCTGTGAAACAAGGATTAGTAAAGAAACATTAAAAATATCTTCTGAGGAGTAGGTCTTTCTGTGGTAACACTGCATTCCAAATGTGTGAAAAAGACAGGGAAAAACATGAACTGCAATAAATTATGGCTAAAGTGAGTTAGCTTATTAACTTCCTTTCTGTTTCCTGACGACTGGCAGCCAGCGGCTCTTAGGCGCTTTCAAAACCTGGGAATGATAGGCATCCTCAAGTTCAAAGTCTGCCTTGAACCTTTTGGACCCACAACTGCAACTAGGAGTCCTGTCGAAACAGGCTTCCCTGGGTAATTTCCAACACAGTTGGGTACATGGCAGTGTTAGAATGAGCTCTCTCAAGGCTGTTCATCACTGACATTCTGGTTTCAACTAGATTTTGGAGAACAGAGGCTGCCTGTGAGACTGGCCTGGGGCATGTACACCTGGCATCTCTAACCTGAGCACCTGAGCCTGGTCACTACAGCAGCACTCAGAGACCCTCCCCTACTGACACAGGTGTCGTAATTAGAAAACCCATCTTCTCGACACGTGGCTGGAGAGGGATTTATTTTTATTTTTATTTTTTATTT